TAATGGTTAGACTGTCTTATACAACAATATGTGTTTAATATTTATTTCTTGGTGCATTTTTTATGCTATAGCTACATATATAATCGAACATATACTCGCAATTCTTTAATTTTTTTCAAAAAAATAAATAAATGATTAAATAAAAATTCACCTCACAATATGAAATTTGTTGAAGTGCATGAAGCATTCGTCAATTTCAAAAGTGGCAGCATCCATGTGGACATAAGATCCCATCAATTGAAAGGTCAATTTGTGTTTATTTGTTTCACTATATAAAGTTTGTCTAGCCCTAGAGCGTATTCAATGTAAACAGAACCAAACCGTATACTTGGAAATGAAACAGAAATGTTTGCATGTGACATTGCCACTCATTGCCATTAATTAGGTCAAAAAAAAATGACAGTACTGTTTTAGTCACAAATTAAATTTGAAAGAAAAATAAATATAAATGTTGTCCCCACACGGGGCTTACCGAAAATTAGGGGATCAAGGTTTTAGGTTGGTAAAAATAGAGCCAAAAAGAAGTATTATTAAGATTTCCTTTGATTAGCATGATAATTAACCCCAATCAATCATGCTTTTAGCCTATTTTAGGACGCTATTGAGAACGTCGTACTTTTGTTGTTGTATTGTCATGGTTGGGTACGTTGGAGAATTCGATGCTGCATATGGCAGCACTGCCCCCTCGCATGCTTTTTTACCCTTGATTTGCACACACACATACACCTATGTTGGTGTGTGTGAAATCAAGGGTGAAAAAGCATGTAGGGGCAAGCAACATCGAATTTTCTGGGTACGTTTTTAAGGGTTGGACATCATGTTTTTATATATTAATGCTCAAATGACAGAAGTATATTATTTTGTCGTATGAATATGCATTTTTCTCAAGAAACTACAAATGTTTACGTTTAGGCATTCTTACAACATGTGTTATTATTATTTTCTGTTATATATAACTGTTGGACAAACCTAATGGTTAGGTGGTTTTAATTTATTTTTTTTTAGCAAATATACATAATTTCAAATTGATGTCACTTTAAAAATCAAATTAAATAAAAGTATATAAATAAAAATATGATATTCATAGTATAAATATGCATTTTTGTTATAAGAAATATGATGAGTAGATTTAATCTCCAATTATTTGGTGCATTTACGGCATTACTTTTCAGCTCAACTACCATACATTCAAGCTTTGTCATTTCATTTCAATTTTTAAGTCCAACAGTAATACAGTTAGTTGCACATTATTAACTCTGCACCATGTGATAATTATGTAATATATTCAAAATTATTTGGAAAACTTGAACTTAGGCATCGTGAATTTGATTTTTTTTTTTTTTTTT